AGTAGTTTTTTTATGCATACGGCCCACCTGATGGTAAATAGTTACCGTAGCTGGACGCTTGTAACACCAGGGGTGTCACGTACGCGTTGCCGACCCTTAAGAAACCTTAATAAACCCCTCTTGAAAAACCCCATGCTGTAGTCTCGTGAGAAAACCTCGGCAGGTAGTTCATTCCACAATGTAAGTGTACGTGGGAGGAAATTCTATTTTTCTGTTACCAAATAACATATAGAGTTTTGTTTATACAGAATGTATGTATGTTACAAAACTCAAATAGTGTCACAATTAAAAAAAATTGCGAGTAATGATACCTACCATACGGCACGCCGTAACTAGCATATCATGAGTACAAACTAACTTAATTCCAAACACTGATTTAATAAGACAAAATTAATTATAAACAAATTAATAATAAAGTATAACTTAAATTTAATAAAAAAAAATAGCACCTGCCATTGTAGTATGTCGAATATATTAGTAGTAGTACGCTTATATTAAAATAAAATAAAAAAATACGTATAAAAACAAGTTTTTTTTATTCTACGATTGCAGATATTAACAACACCCTGATTGCTTATTTTTTTATATAACCTGAATGACAGACAAACTGACGGCCGATTGAAACTGACATCCGTCACCTATATACATTAAGTTAGATAGGATATACTTTATTTGCATCATACAATGAGAAATACAACGAGGCGGGCTTATTGCTAAAAGCAATTTTTTAAGCCAATCTTAACAGATACAATTTTGGGAAATAGTACCCACTATTAGGAAGGCATACAATTATGATTAAGTAAAAATAATGATGATTATAATAAAAAAGAAGGTTTAAAATTAAGTGTATTTGTTGCAAATTGTTTTTACGTATTTCTTTCGGACTACTCTAATGCTGTTGGCCGCAGCTGGCCTTTACAGCTTCTCCGGACGATAGGGGGCGAGTGCAGATGGCACTCTAAACCAAAGGAAGGACTTATGGAGCGGCTGAAGGCCAACTCCCGCCTGACGGATACGACTTTAGTCTGAGGACACTGCTAGGGTTTCGAACCTCGGCTCAGGCTGTTGTAACTTCGATCCCTTTTAGAATGTGTCAATGGGTGGATCAGAGAGGTTTTTCCAGATATATAAAAACAAATAGACTAACATTTACATCTGCAACCGTAAATAACTATAGTAAACCATAAAACTGATATTGTATAAGACTTAATTTTATATGTAAAACTATTGCGACAAATCTTTTGTCTCTATCTATTTCAAAATATAGAAAAGGAGAGAACACGAGCTGAGTTTCTTGTCAGTTCTCATCTCGAAATCATTCCGAACTGACGGTAGATTTGACATATCATAAGAGTCTGTAATAGACCTACGTGAATAAATATATTTTGTAATTTGAATTTTTGAAGAGAATACCTAAAATACATTTGTTAAACATTTCACTTTCCATACATAGAATAAAAGGAATATTCCACTGTCTGTTCTCTTAGATTTATTGAAAACGACAGAAGGGAGTAGCTAAAATATATTTATGAAACATTTCATCATAGTTACTTTAAAACTTTCGTGTTTAATATACATTATTTAAATTATTAACCGGGTCTTAACACGAATAATTTTATGGCAAATAAATGTATTTATCTCTCTAGACGTTACAATACCTTTATTTACCATAAAATTATTCGTGTTAAGACCCGGTTAATAATTTAAATAATGTTTCATCATAGTATAAATTGAAGTCGCTTCCGTTATCTGTTCGCTTAAATCTTTGAAACTACATAACGGATTTTAATGCAGTTTTGCAATAGCTAGAGTGATTCAAGAGGAAGGTTTATATGTATAATACATGTACACCCGTGCGAAGCCAGAGCACGTAGCTAGTTATGAATAAAAAGGAGTGGCCGTTTAGAGAAATGATCCAAAATACTTGGTTATCATTTTGAGAGTTACTTTATAAATAGGTATATTAAATACTAGCTGTATTACACAGCTTTTGTCGAATATCTTTAATACTCACTGACAAATTTAGCTATCTACAGGTGAAAGAATATTATAAAAAATATGCTATTTTGTATAGAGTAAGAGCTGAGTTTCAGTCAGTCAGTTCTTAGCTCAAAATCATTCCGAACTGACGGTAGATTTGACACATCATAAGAGTCTGTAATAGACCTATATGAATAAAAATATTTTGATTCGATTATATTTATTTATTCATAAACTAAAACCATTCTTATTTATATTAATATAGAGTACCAATTGGACGTTTTCATGATTGATAGAAAGAGGTTGGAAGGTTGTATATTTTTTTCCTTATTCATGTAGGTCTATTACAGACTCTTATGACATGTCAAATCTACCGTCAGTTCGGAGTGCTTTCGAGATGAGAACTGACAAGAAACACAGCTCGTATTCTTTTCAAATACGCTTGTACAATTAAAAAATTAAAACAATATCAGTTTTAAATAAGTTAACACAAGATAAACGTGAACTAAATTCGTAAACCATGCGCAATAAATCACAGTTGAAAGAAATAGACCGTTATATACAGAATTAGTAATAAACTGTACACCAAGATAGCGGTTTCTATGTTGATTTTCGCATACCTCTTACTTGTTATTGTGTAATTATTTATATAAAAAAAAAATTACACATTTACAAAAATTAAAAACCTATGTGACGTTATATTTTGGTAAGTACGTTAAATTTTGTAAAAATTTTAATTTCACGTGGGTCGAATTAAACCTATTTTTTATAGTCTTAATTTCTTTTCGAAATGTGGTGTAGGATATGGTAGTGACCATATCCTACACCACACAATCTTTATATACCATATTATTCGTGTTAAGACCCGGTTAACGATATAAACAAGCATTACGGACATCACGTTATCATGTGACACCCGAGGTACCCAATACCGTCTTTACCATAAGAGCACACGGGGCCCAGGGCCCCCATTCTCAGGGGGCCCCCCCCCCCCCCCCCCCCCCCCCCCCCAAGGTACTTACATTTTATACCAACTTCCCCTATTCCTATGTACTTACCTGTTTTTTTTTTTATTTCCCAAAAGGGCCCCGAATTATTGTGTGCCCAAGGTGCCCCGCCTAGTTTAAGACGGCGGTGGTGATACCACTCATGCGTTGCCATTTCAGAGTACTAATTTATTTCACTGCCTTACCTCCACCGACTTCTTCAGTTCATAAGCACTCTACCTGACCTTGCTTGGTATACATTTTAAGACTAACTTTGTGTTGTCACTCGAATATTGTAATTTAAATTAATTCAAATGCAATTTTTTTAATTTATATAATACTCTTCATAGTATAATTATAGAGGTCTACAGACATATATAGCGTGGAAATAAAGCTTAACTAATAGCCATTTTGTATAACAGAGACATTCCTAGCTTCACATAGCTTGTTGTGATGTAAGCTCTATCTTTACATAGCTTACTGTGATGTAATAGGGATATATATTCACAAATTAATATTATTTATAGTTTTAGAAACTTAATTTTAAAATTCACATAGCCTATGGTAATGTAATGGATACCTTATAGCGTTGTAAATAAGAACTATTTTGAAGTAGCTTATCGTGATGTAGAATGACTAAGCTGCCTGACTCGACAATCTGACGTAAATTTAACTAATCTTCATGTTATTTCTTAACGTAACAGTTACTAAGCTACCATTCTGATGTACCAGAAAGCAAGCTTTGCGTAAGCTTTTCGTGATGTAAGATGTACAAGTTTAATCTCAAATACTACATGACATAAAGTTGATTTTATTACTTATTTCGTAAGATCCCGTAAGGGTTGAAGGTCACCCTTAAGGGATTTACAGAAGTTCCCACTGGAACAAATTCAATGTGATCAAAAACCGCATTAAATAGCGATGTGAATCTTGCCGATTTACTTAGTTCGAGATAAAACTATAGACTTTAAATATTAAACATATTTATTATATGTATATATAATATATAAAAAGGTCTCTTCCGTCTTACCGTCTGTAGACCTCATTGATCCGTCCCTAATTTAAAATTATTCTATACAATTTTTAGAATATTTCGACCTAATTTTATTGAATGAACGAATTGAAATATATCATAATATTTATAATAAATAACTTTCATATAATCATTATATGATTTCGCAATCCATTCAGACGTATACGAAAATCGCATGTTCTGTTAAAATTAATAGAGACATGATTTTTATAGGTCCACTTTATTTGAAATAATTAAGTCTTTATTAACTTATATATTGATTATTAACACGTTAATCGCCACGATAATATAAGAAAAAAATTCACATGGGCCATGGTAACTTTATTAGTTAATTTAAATAAAAATTTAGTCAAAAAAAATTCTGTGAACATTAGTTCCCAGAATTTTTTTTTTACCATAATTCCCGGAAAATCACTTTTTTATGTCACACATATATGACTGACATGGCCCTATATTAAAACTTTTTTCTCGACAAGCCGTGTCAATCTTATATGTCTGATGCATCCAAACAAGATACAAGTATTAAAAAAAAACCTGTTGTTTTGAACACAGCGCCATCTACCACCAAATCGAGTACGTCAGACATATATGTCTGATGACATGGCTCATTTAGAACTTGTTAGCGTCAGAGACACATATTGCCTGACATTGCGATTAATGTGTTAAGATACCAATATGGTTTAAAGACTTCAGAGCATTAATTTTATATTCCTTATAGAATATTCTAGATAAACCTAGAGTACGTTTTAGAACCGAGAATATTCTAGAATTATTCCAGATAAACAACCCTAAAACATGTCTCCGTGATTTGGTTTGTTGCATTTACTTTTAAAGAACACAGCTACTGAAATATCATGAACTTTATAATAATAAGCCAACATTTTTTTTTAACAGTATTTGGAAACGGTATATATGCATATGTTTTAAAAAACTTCGTTAGCGCGTTTCAGGTATACGTCCGATTGTATTAAGAATCTGTATTTAATGTGAACGTAGTGTACCCTTTAGTCAGGTGGTAAGTAGCTGAATAGTTTGTATTTGTCCCGGATGTAGGGTCGCACGTCGTCTTTCTGAAATTCAAATTAATAGGTAAATAGTTGATGCATGCAAAAACGCATTTTTAAGAGAACAGTATTGTTAGTATTAACCGCATTGCAAGCAATGATGGGCAGGTTGACCTCTGACCTCCATGCGAGTCCCCCTGGAAACCATCGTGGCAAATTGCCAATCAAGATGGGGAAACTGACCTGACCTTATGTTCATTTAATCATCCTTCTCTGGGGACCTGCCAGCGTAAAATCATTAATGCAGTTGGGTGAATCATTCCATTATAAACCATAAATAAATTTTCGTTATTAACGGTTAATTAACCGCAGAGACATTAACAGGAGAGAGAGGAGGGGGTTTGTTGAATTATTTAAGTAAATATGTATTTTATCTAAGTTAATAAATTACATTTAAATTAAATTACTCATATTTAAAGCTGGATTATGTATATTTATCACGTTAAATATAATTTATAAAATATATAATGGAATCTTTAGCTTTCGGATATCTAGGAGTTACAGAATAAAAAGACATTTTAAGTTACAGTTTAAATTACAGAATAAAGAGACTACAGAATAAAAAGACATTTTAAATAATGTCTTTTTATTGTATAGTCAACTTCATTTTTCTTTGTCTCGGTCGGATAATTGACTATTATTAACCGCATTTTTTGGTAGCTAACCATAAATTTGGGTAAGTAACGGTAGCTAACCAGTTTTTTACAACTAACTAAAATTATATAAACGCGAAAGTTGTAAGTATAGATGTTTCTTACTCTTTCACGCAAAAACTAGGGTACGGATTTTGATGAAACTTTACAGTAATATAGCTTATGTATCAGAATAACACGTGACCTATATTTTTTAATGAAATTTATATATTATAATTCAACGCGGGTGAAAACGCAGTCACAGCTAGTATATAAAGCCATATCTGAACTGTGATATTGCTCTGTAAGTTTATAAGTTGTGTACTCACAGTGGCGAGATGTTCCAGGAACGGAAGCAGCTTCAGTAGTTCGTTGTCGCTGCGGTCCACGAACCAGCTGTCTATTGGGATGCCATTCTCCAACTGGTAGCCAAAAGCCTGCGGTTCATAATTAATATGTAATTATTATCCTCGACGGCGTAGGTGATCTAGTGGTTTAACACTTACTTCCGATGGTCGTGGATTCGAATCATCGCACGGTAGAAACATTTGTATTCAGAGAAAGGGGTTGTTAGTAATATGGATTAATAACCCCATTGCTAGCAATATACCATAACAGGTTGCCTTCCTTGGTTACCCCTGGAAACCATCGTGATAATTTCATGGTGAATTTACCATGATGGGATAATTGACCTGACTTCTTGCTCATCTTATCATTCTCCACTGGTGCCCCGCCAGCGTAAATCGTTAGCGCATTCATAAGTATAATGTACGTATGACTTTGTATCGGTCTGAGTCAGTGTACAAACATTTGCATTCATGAGTATGATTGTTTGTATCCATCTGGGTCAGTGTTTCCCAGCCTATCACACTTACTTCCGATGGTCGCGGGTTCGAATCATCGCACGGTACAAACATTTGCATGAGATTGATTGTTTGCATCCATCTGGGTCAGTGTTTCCCAACCTATCACACTTACTTCCGATGGTCGCGGGTTCGAATCATCGCACGTTACAAATGTCTACAAGTTACAACAAGGTCAATGTTTCCCAAACTTTTTGAGCCATGGCCCACTTCAATCTTTCTAAAATTCTCATGAAAACTTTTAAGACGTGTCATACCTGAGGACTGTTGTCCACGATGACGGTCTTCTTCAGATCCCGGCCGAGTATGGAGAGATCTTTCACGTAGTTGCCATTCACCAGAAGGCAATGCTCGCGGAAGAGTCTGCAAACAAAGTGGGTTACTCACCATTCTATTTAGGTTTTATTACAGGGTAGAAGACACACAAAGACTATGAACTTCTTCTTTTACTTATATTTAGATACTTTACACTTACAGTGTTCAAACCAAACTGTGCACACATTATCGTGGTTCTATTTAAAGACAGTAGAACTGATATGATCAAATCGAAACTTACATCTTGTACTCAAAAATAAATATGATTATATCAAACTTCTAGAACATACATTTTATATCATAATTATATTTTTATTTTATTGTCACTTAGCATTGACACAACTTGAAGTTTTCACCATTTTACAACCCCTGTTTATACAAATGTTACGGTGCCAGGAATCGAACCCGTGACCATTAAAAGCAAAGCGTCACTTTAAATTAAACCCTAGATAGTCCCTATGTATATGTGTGTGACTGACCTGTACTTGATCCACCTTCGCGCGGGGTCTAGAAGGTTCAGAAGTCGGTCAGCGTAGACTCGCTTGCTGGCAGTGAACAATATCACTTCGTACACACGGGACACTCGAGACAGGAACTCGGCGAAATGAGGCCGAGTGCGGACGAAAACCTGGTGAGGGAATAAAAAATGTAACTTCTTCCACAAGTTTGTTGTACATTAAGACCTGCCCTGCGAAACCTGGCCGAGTGCAGGCGAACAACTGCCGAGGGAATGTTTTTTATAAAGTTCCTCGACAAGTGTTGGACTACATGACAGAGGGAGCGGCTACTCCACCCATATACAGTTGGTCCCTCAACTTATTGTGCCATATCCGACATACGCAACAACGTCGCCCGAGGCACATTTTTATTGATCCCAACGACCCCATAACGGTACTTAACCTCCCTATGGGTCCACCCGGTCCGTCCCGTCCATACTTTCACACACACACACGACACCGTCCTCGCCGGCGAAGACGACGACCTCGACCACACCATGCCGGGCACTCCACACCGTTGCCCCTGGTCGCCTCTCCGATCGAACTCCATCCAATTCAAACGGGGATCGAAATTACGACGGCCTGCCGTCTCCTTCAGCCGATCGAACATGCCATCCAATTCAAACGGGGATCGAAAGTCCGAAAAAACTCATTGTGCCCGTAAATCGCGCGTGAAAGAACGTGTCGTGTAAAGGATATTACCAAAATCTTGAGGTCACGTTAGCATTCTACCGCGGCTCTGGCGACGTTAGTAGAAATTATTGACATTGTAGAAATTAGGCCAGGCCCCATCTCGTTGTTAGGCTGAACTATTTCGCCCTACTGAATTGTAGAAGCGTGTAAATTTTGGTTTTGACTCAAATTTTAGCCCATTTGATTGGGATGCTGCCTCCCCCAAGGCAGTCGCCTAAACCACCTACATGTGATTTATATGGATATCTCCTAGATGGTAATACTCACTGTGTAGCGACAATCTTGGAAGAGTACTGGGAAATGGAAACTGGCGTCAGGCAACTCCTGCAGCGAGCAGTGAACCAGCGTCTCATCCAAGTCCAATACCTGATGACAAATATGTATATAACAGATGTGTGTTCATAGCATTCGAAGAAAATCTACTGCCCTGTCAAAATATTAGGATAGCATTAAATTACTTTTAAAGCCATTTGGGTATAACTGCATGAATATATAGCCTTAAAATGTTGAATTTATGGAATACTAGCTGTACCACGTGGAATAGAGGCCTTGACAAACAAGAAAGAAAAAAATATTTCATGTAACCCAAAATATCATAACCAAAAAGTTTCTTCTTACTTTAAAAATGACGATACTTCAGTACAACCCAACATCTCCCCTTTCCACCCCTTACAACCACTTTCTTTCTTAATATTTAATCATCTATATAAACATATATGGAAAACGCTGGAGGAGGCCTTTGTGTCTAAAGGACACGTTGACAACCACTTTAGAAGTAACATAAAATGTATATATAAGTAACTAATTCTTAATATTTAATCATCAATATATTTTGTGTCAATTAATAAAGGCTTTGAATTTGAATTTGAATAAACATATATATATATATATATTAGTTGTACATTGGACTTACAAGACTGAAGTCGGGACTGGCGCGTGTCTTGAGAGGTAACGCCGGGTAGCGAGCTCGTAATGCGCCGGTAGCTACCGTCTCTAAAGGTGGAAGCTGGGGGGAATATTAAACATTATTAAAACAATGAATAATTTGCGTGAAATCAAATACCGTACACAGTTAAAGATAACTGCGTATCAGTTATTAACGGACCAAAGTTTTTTATTATTATTTATTTCACACACATTTTCTACTATTATAATTCCCCATATATGCACTAGGGCCCTCACTGGACACTACCAATTGAATGAACACATGGCGACATTAGATCTTAGCTTAACAATCTGCAGATTTTACCAAGCAGAAGAGTAAACGCCACTATACATCCTATGTGGTTGTAAGCCCACTCATGCATAAACGAAATCTACTTTGGAAAGTATACACTCTATCCTGAGGAGATAAAAACCATCGCTCCTAAGAATATCCTTCAATTCTTGTCCCTGACGGGTCTAGGTAGCGGACTTTAAAAAGTGGCGAACACAATAGATCTATGTAGGTCGCCGTGTTAAACATATATATATAAAATTCTAGTGTCAGAATATTAGTTACAATACTCCTCTGAAACGGCTTGACCGATTCTTAAGAAATTTTATATGCATATTCAGTATGTCTGAGATAGGTTACTATCTATTTTTCATACGCCTAAGTGATAAGGGATGTCCACCCCTAACATTTTATTTTTTAGACGAAGTTTTTGTTTTTATAATGTGGCACTAAAAGATAAGATACAACCCTAAATTATTATTATTATTACTTTATATGGTAAAACAACGTTTGCGGGGTCATCTAGTAATCTCTAAAAAAAATGTTACCTGCTTGATAAATAAATAAGGGTCGAAAGCGTCAACCCAAGATGATATCTGCTCACAGTCAACTCGGCTGCTGCATGACGAGATGACATCTCCAGCTTCCTCCTGTAACATATATTTTTGTCATATGCAATCATTACATAGTATAAAACGAAGTCGCAGTCGCTGGACAGGCAAAAATTATAAAAACAAAATATTTTGGTGTAAGTACCATATCTATATTCATACGCATGTAGTAAAAAAACTGTTATTTCAATATTACAAACAGACACTCCAATTTTATTTATATATATAGATATTTATAATTGGAATAATCGTCCAGAGAGTAAAAACAGTGTGCTAACAGCTATTTGGTCAACAACAACAAAGTTGACGTATTAGAAATGGTATGGCTACGCGTCTTTACAACCAGCACGTGGGTATGGTTCGCATTTGTACTTAGATTCTATTTTTAACCAACATTCAAATTCAAAAATCATTTATTCACGTAGGACATTTTAGCCGCTTATGAACGTCAATTGAAAGATTGTCTGGAAGTCATTAGCGACAAGACAGCCTTTTGTACTTAGTTTTTTTTTTTAATTTTGTTAAGATTCTTTCTATCTCGGTGCAATAAGGTGTAGTGTTATAAATAAAAAATAAAATTATTTCTCCCATGGTCCTTCGAGCCGGATACCATGATTTACCTTAAAATCTATAAATCAATTATATTTCTTTGACATCTATAGATTATATTTGATACAAACCTCAATATCTGAAGGTGTCTGCTCATCATGGCATACCAGAGATGACTCATCAGCTGTTATATCGGATCCATTCTGTACACAAAAAGTATATTATATATATTTTGTTGATGAATCTAGCGGAAAACTGTTTTATCCTTACAATAATATAATTATATTTTGTCTAAAGACACGTTGAACAGGGGACTAAAGATGCGAAAAAGTAAATGTGTTATTTTGTTAGTAAATAAAGGCTTGAAAATCAATTATTATATATAATATATAAATACAAAAATTACAATTTACTAGTTGTTTATTACTACATATTATTTCAGTTTTTATAGTCTTTGCTACTACTTGTGTGCTATATAAAAATAACATTTATCTAGATTATACTAAGATTTAATATAGAACATATACTGACCCATCCAGCAGTTGATGCCAGTATATAAGATAATCTCATCTAAGAACCCTGTTGGACTTCTAGCTGAATAAACTCTCTATTTGTATTTACAGGTTGATGATATTATATAAAAACATAGCCATCTTGTTCTAGCATTGCCACGAAATCCGGCTGTAAGAATACAAAATTATATACAGGCTGTCCCAAAAGTCTTAATTCAATATTGTCAAAGCTATCCTATGTTTTTATTGCAATGTTCTTCCAAACTAAGGTTGATGGCTTTAAATTTAAGGCTACAATTGATAATTTACTCAAAGTTATTCCAATAATAAAGCAGAGCAAATGTTGCTATTTGGAGCAAAAAGGTTGAAATTATAGTAACAGGCTTTTAATTTTGTTAAATACCTATAATTTCATAACCACAGGGTCATAATTATTTCATATTTTTCTGATAGCTGTGATGAGTTGTTCTATCTTCTGCTTTTAGTTTATCATCACTTTTGATAAGACAAAAGATTATATACTTTTTGTCCCAAAAGTCTTAATTCAATATTGTCAAATATCCTATGTTTTTACATTTATGAAAATATCATCTATGCCAGAAGGAATATAGACAGTTTAGTGATTGGCTTTAACAAACTGATTTTACCTAAATGTGATAATTTACTTAGTAATGTTATTTTTACAATAAAATACCAGAGTCTGTTATAAATCTGCCAGAAAAAAGATTTAAATGTCAAATAAAACAGTTCCTTTGCAAAAAGGTTACTATAAAATTGAAGAATTCGTTAACGATAATAATGTTTTTATAGAAAAACTTTAAATCTAACAGGACAATATTATCTGATTACATTAATAATGACGTAGCGACTTTTGTTGATTATCGCATGCCTCTTACTTGTTATACTGTAATTATTTATATAAAAAAAAACATCTATTAAAAAGAGTTGTTCACATTTTTGCTTTCTTTTATGAATCTGCTTTTGGGAGTGGTAGAATCAAAATATGACTATTCAAAAGTGCTTGTAATAAGTTTATTTGAATAAAGATTATTTCTATTTCTATTTCTATTTCTATTTAGTAATTCAAGTTTTAGTAGGTAGCCCCAATTTCTTAAGATAATAAACAACAGACTGTTTCGCAGGGATGACATTCAAATGGTGAATGTTTTTTTTTTAAATTGACTTGATTCATGCGGTTTTCATCTGGCATTCAGTTTAGTTGATACATTTGATCTCTTTTAAAGATAAACCCATCCATGCTTATTTTATTTTAAATATTCAGGTACTAATAAACTAATTGACAATAGACACCTTTTTGACATAACATCTTACCTGCACATATTTTTCTCCATTGCTCAAAAAATCAGAACACGAAACCAGATCATCAGTTGTTGAAGTCGGTTGATACATCTCCAAATCATTACTCGACTTCCTTCTCTTTATCAATCTCTTCTCCACTGAATTCTTCCTTGATTTTTTACCATCCTCTTTATCTGTTGTCATCACTCTTGCTGCCTTGTCAGCTAGAAAGTTAACCTCATCTTCGGATTGAAGGCTGTCATTCATCAGTTGAGCACAATCAACTATTGCCATAAAACTGTTCAAGCAATCATTTGGAAGACATAATTCTGAAGACTCCACCTGACCATCCGAGTCAGACTCCTCAGATTTTTGGTTTGGAAAATCAACAAAAGTTGTTGTGTGTGCTTCATACATAGTAACATCATTGTCATCACTCCAATTCCCCGTTTCAGATACGATTCCTTTTGTTTTAGCCTTTTTCTTGGGGCTTGGATTGGTTGATGTAACTTTCGTGACCTTTGGTGAGGGTGCACCCATTTGACGAACTTTACGTATCGGAGAGCTGTTCAATGATGCTGATTTATCAACTTTGTCCATACGTCTTGTCTTCCGAGGGGTGTTAATGGCTGCTGTCAAAGCTTCTGTTTTACGTAACTCACGATTTAAGGAACTGTGTCGCAATTGTACACTTTTTGTTGTACGAACCTCTTGTGGTTTAGATGTTGTTGTTACTTTATCATTCTGTGTCTTAGGAGATTTTACGCTTGTAGACGATGTCACTGCATCTTTATTTGTGCTACGCACTACAGTTTGGAAGAGTGGCTTTTTTGTGCAATTATCTTTGAGTTTTGGTTTTTGTGCAACTGGTTTCTCCATGATTTTTACAAGACCAGTTCTTACGGGCCTTGTCTTTAGATTTTTCTGGGATCTAGTGATGCAGAACTGAGGCAGATCAGCTTGTAAGCCATTCTTACCTGCCTCACCCTTCAAGATGGCTCTCCAAGCCGAGTTTGGCTTAGACAAGGATTTTTTCAAAGTTTTCTTCTTCAACTGAGCTACTTGCTGTGAATTCCTCTTCGATGAGAGCGACCGCTCCCTCTTTCTGCTTCTTAACCGCATCGCAAGTTTAGAAGCTTGACCTGAAAACAACGATTATTAAATTAACATTCAAAATAATTAATGAATTACATTAAAAGCTATTTGTTTATGGTTTTCAATAAAAAATTAAATTTCATACAATTTTCTACATATTTCAATGATACTTTCATATAGCCTGATACTTTCTATAACTACTTAACACCGCTGGGATAACTTACATGAACTCAACTGTGTATGTGAAATTAATTTACTCCATGTAATATGAAGAATAAATTAACCCTTCTGTGACAACGACGCCGGCAAACATTACGCTTAAAACTAATTTCTTTGTTTCAATACATTGGGACTTTATTTCCGGATAACAGAGCGCGGCATTCGTTCGCGCCTTTTTCACATCCTACTTTTTATCACGAATCTATCATTATTCCACTGTTTATGACTTTAAGTGAAGACTTTAGTAAATTTTCTGAGACCACAACACACTTTAATGTCCTTTATCACTAATTTATCTATAAATATTGAATGTTCAAAATAAAAAAAAGCGGCACCAGTAGTTATTGATTTATGCGCTGTTTAACTGTAGCTATTTCTACTTATGCGATATATTTTATAAATAAAACACATCAGCGGAATAGTTCAATCGCGTAAATGTAAATTATATCCACTACATCATTTTTATTTACAAGATATTTTAAATTGTAATACACAAAGCCAAACAAATGTCAAAATGGCGGCGAATGTTTTTTTAATGCTAAAAAATATCATCAGATGGCGCTACGGCGATCGCGCATGCGTTTTGTTGATACTTGAGAAATACCGAGCCGAGAAGTCGATAAAACATAAACTGCAGGATTGTTTGAAAATTGGGTTAATTGTATATTTACAACACCAAAATTAATGTTATAAAAACTTTATTTAGAGACAATCAGTTTTAATTACAGATTGTAAAATATTTGGTAATATACTGAGATTTATCTAATTATAAACTGCAATTAGTAGTTTTTTAATAGTTAAAATAAGTAATTTTACCCAATTCTTTGTACTGATATAATGGCATTTATTTATAACAACAATGAGCAGATATGCTGAGTAAAGGTGTCTAAATGGAATGCAGAACTTCATACTTAATACCATTTCCACATATGTCATGTACTGTACATGTAGTATCTCATATATACAGAATTACATATGATTGTTAAATAAGTCAGATTGGTACCAATAATTACTCAAAATACTAGACCATTGTAGGTAAGGTGTTTGAAATAAAATAACTTATAAAAAATTACTTGCAATCACGACTGTTACCCCAGATGGGATAGCCAGAGACATTGTTGTGTCAACAGTTCAACACTTAACATGTGCACATGTCAGAGGGCATATTCACTGACATATTTGAATCTAATGTGACAGAGAAAGAGTATTATATTTGTTTCATTTATTTTGTTATTGATGTTTTCACCATCAGACAGTGAGACGGAAACAGTGTAATGAAAATGGTGAGTGTGTATCCAGAGCCGTAATAATTATTTTTATCATTGATCTGTGACTGTCATTCATTTTCATTCGTTTTAAATTTGAATTTACTGTTTACGTTCTATCGTCACTGTAATTTATTTTAAGTTTGCGAATTACAAGATTTCTATATTATAAATAAGAATATCTAATACAATGTCCAGTATATCAGTTACGTCATCCAAACGTGAGGTGAGAATAGTAAACTGATTAACGAACTTTCAAATAAAACTGAAACTTTGTAGCAAGTTGATTATGAGATAGTAGTTTCTAAGTAAACGGCTAATACTTTAGCAGTCCCGATTACAGTCACCTGAAGCCTGAACCTTTTTTTTTGGATGATTGATAATGGGACCGTTCACCTGTCTGCGCTAGTCAGCGTTAGCTCGCCAGCGTAAACCGTTAAAAAATACGTCTAACTTTCCCATAACTTTATTTTTTATAATATATTTATAATTTACAGAAAGGAACAGCAGAATTATCACAGGAAGTAGATTCTATCAGAGCTCTGAATAAAAGCCTTCAAGCATATCTAGAACAGCTGCGCGTATATAAAAAGAATTTAATAGCAATGGATGAAAATTGCAAGCAACTGTCTAAAGTTAATACAGAGTGGATACAGACAATAAATATGATGAAATGAACATTGCACTGGCAATCAGCCCTGACTTTGCTCTGGTATTTAAAATAATTTATATAAAATCTCAGCTAATTTTACATCTAAACCTTACTCATGAATCACTCTGTTGATGCATGAAGACTGCATAAAAATCTGTATAGTTTTAGAAATTATTGTGAACATACATAGGTATGCAGATTTGATATGAAATAGTTCCCTATTTCATATCAAATTCAATCAGAAAATATTTATTCATGTTAGGACATTTAGACCCATTATATCGGTGATAATTATTTATCACTACCTCCTACCATCATGTTAGATTAGAAACTAGTTGAGAAGAACTGGCAAGAACTTCAAGACTCAACTTACCCAATAATATAACTATAGTTCTATTTATGGATACACTATGGGCCATATCTTCAGTCCATTGATTAATGATATCATTTAATAGTGATCAAGATGGACTAGAATAAGTAATACACTACTTACATCATCACAAGTATAAATATCTTCGTTTGTTACAAAAAAATTGCAAAGTATCTCTGTCCATAACCCCAACAGCATTTAATAGGTCGGGCACAATTGGTTTAATTAGATATATGTATGACCAAACATCAACTGCTTCTTCCTTATTACATTTATTTTTGGTCAGCTCTTTCAGCCTTCTCCCCTTATGCTTAGTTATATATATGTAATATATTAAAGTTAAATATTTGTAAATAGTGTTAATTTCTTTTATTGTTTTGTTTAATATAATATATTTTTTATTAAATTCGAAATTCATAATATCTTTATTCATGTAGGCCCCACCAACTCACTAATTAGGACATTGTTTTCATTGTGTTATACTAAACATGTAATATAATATAATAGTCTCAGGACAATTAACACAGCGCCATCTAGACACAAGTGAAGCTAGCTAAAGCTTGAATTATGGGTAGGTACTAGATAATTCAATTAAATTCAAATTCAAAATATATTTATTCATGTAGGTCCATTATAGACTACTATGATATGTCACATCTACTATCAGTTCGGAATGATTTATTATTTTTTACATACATTATTCTTAGATTACAAATTTCTTACACATATTACAGATTTCTTAGATTAACCCTTACAAAAACAAAATTGTATTGTATTCTTTTAATTATTATTAACATGTTGACCAACTTAGAGTGATGTCGTAGTGTTCACTTGCTTAAAATTTATTAAAAAACAAACAAAAAGTGTAAATATTTATAAACTAGCTGTACCCGCGACTTCGTCCGCGTAAAATAGTGACCTTGAGCAAATAATAAAAAATATATATTAATAATCTAACCCAATAAAAAAGTTTCATCGTTCTAGCTTCAAAAATGAAATTTCCATACATAATTCCATACAATTGAATCAACAGCCAAAAACTAAGTTTCAAACTACTATCTTTAAAATGAAGATACTTCCATACATACCATACATACATTACACCTCCCCTTTCAACCCCTTATAACCCTTTTTCTTGTTTTTTTTAATGCTACTTATATTAGTGTCATCATGTACCAATGATAAGATGTCGCTATACTGTAACCATTTATGGCTGAGTCCTGTGGCGGTAGGTACTGATATTTTCTCAACAGCCTAAAAAATGGGTTTCAAGTTTCTAGCTTTAAAAAATGACAATACATGCATACAACATTTTAACTCCCCTTTTGACCCTTACAACCCATTTTCGTTAATTATATTTAATCAATACGCAAAAAAATAAGATTGAAGCTTAAACTTTTAAAAAATTCCTCTTTCAGTCTCTTATAACCCTTTTTAGCATTAAAAAGTAACCTATGTCCTATCTCAAGATCTAGACTTTAAATTTCATTTAAATCAGTTCAGAAGTTTTGGCTTTTAAGACAGACAGACAGAGTCACTTTCACTTTCATAATATTAGTAAGGTATTTATTAAATAAACTGACCCAAAAAAGCGTAAGAAAAAAGCTTCATCGTTCTAGCTTCAAATATGACGAATTTCCATAAAAACTTTTATCTGCTATTTTATTTTACCCCTTGAATGGTGACAGTGTGATATTTACAAATTTAAATGTCATATTTATTTATATGTAATAAACAGTTTAAACATTTCTTTAAATGCTTTTGAAAATTGGTAGTCCAGTTGGCCAATAACATAATAAAATTTTGTTAAATCAAAATAATAGATGTGATATTCTAAATTGCAAACTATCCCTCTACTTGCGCGAACCATATCTCTGACTCTACTGGCCAGAATGGAGAAACGCGTATTCCGAACCTGAATAGCTCGGATGGAACGGTAGATGTTGTTTCTTCCAAGGAAATGTTGTTCATATGTATTGACAACATTTTTAATATTATATGTTGTTTTATTCTTCAAAAATATTAATAATATGTTCTTACGCTCTTGTCCAAGAGCAGGGTCATCAGTTATAGGCTATACCAGGATTATATTTATGTATTTATAAAATAAATTTGCAGAGCAAACGTTTATTCATTTAAATTCATAAGGAGACAACGGATTGACAATAATCAGTTGCGCGCGCTGCTTATACAAATGACATATATGTTTATTTATGACATATGAGCGTTAATAAGTCGCATATCTAGTACAATACTGGTGTAATTCAGAAATTAAAAATTTTTGAAAATAGACTTAATAACACAATTATAAAGTAGACTTTCCAAAATATCTAATTTTTTAGTTAAGCCTTTATTATAATAAGTGTGTATTCAACCGCATAAAGATAACCTTGCATTACCATTTTCTACCCCTTACAACCCTTTTTTCGCATTAAAAAGTAGCCTATGTCCTTCCTCGGCGTCTAGACTATATGGGTACCAAATTTCATTTAAATCTGTTCAGTAGTTTTGGCGTGAAAGCGAGACAGACAGACAGACAGACAGACAGAGTTACTTTCGCATTTATAATATTAGTAAGGATTAGTAAGGAAGTAAGGATTACTAATCAAATTCAAGTAATAAAATATTGTTTTATTTCATGAATTTGATGTATGTGAATGAATGAAATTATATGTTTATGGAAATTTAAAAAATCTTTTTTTTTTTTTCTTCTTGATTATAACTATGCAATAGAATTAAAGTTTATAATAATGTGATTAAATCAAATTGTCATTTCAACCAGATTTCTGTAAATTGTGGTGGCGGTCAAGTGTTAATATTTATGCTGTGTTGTATCCATCGGTGGCGTTATCTAATGGGACAGCTGTTTAATATTTATGCTGTGTTGTATCCATCGGTGGTGTTATCTAATGGGACAGCTGTTGTAGACTTTTCTGTAATAAATAATAATAATATTATACCAGCTATCATACCAGAAGTGGTATGTTGTCTGTCAAGTTTGCGATGGATGCAACAATTAACGTTAAATACTTAATTCAGAATACCGTTTCGCGGATTAATTTATATCTCTGACAATAAACAGACATGTTTATATTTCAAACTATCTCTCCGCTGATAGAAACACCGATAACATACCAAACTAATCCGAAGGTAACAATGGCTCGTTATGTTAAAGTAATCCAGTAAAAGAATTTTACAAATTGGTGCAGCGTTTCGAAGTTTATTCATAACAAAATGCGCTATTTTAAAATAGTAAACATAAATAAACTTAATAATATCTATCTAGTCCAACAGTAGGTAGAGCTTGTAATACTTAGATATTTTTTTTGTAATTACATACATACATATTATACATAGAAAACACTCAGACCAACACAAACAATCATACTCATAAATACAAATGTTTGCATCTTGCCAGGCATCGAACCCGCGATCAATGGAGTTGAAACGCTAAACCACTAGACCACAGAGGTAGTCGTAGAATATTAGTATATATATGTACTGCCGAAGCAACTATTGTGAATTTGACAAAATACCTACCAATCATACAAATGGAGTACTGTGGTGTATCGCATGGTAATCCATACAGCAATCCCTTCAAATGGTCCTGTCTGTCTAGATTCAGACATGAATTATCCATAGAAAACTCCTCATCAAGCCATGGCGGTACCTAAAGGCATGAAGTTCCACACTTATTAGTTTTTTTAATGGGTGATAATGGAATTATTTGAGGGAAAGGGGGTTGGTGGCAAAGCACCATGTCAGGTTGACCTCTATGCGTTTCCCCCTGGAAACCATAGTAATAAGTCCCTGGCATTCCCTGGTGAATTTGTTACGATGGGCTAACTGACCTGACATCATCATCATATCATTCTCCACTAGTGCCCCGCCAGCGTACACCATTAGTGCAGCCACCCGTAGCGCTAACCCATTTCATTCATCATCTCAGACCGGAAGACATCCACTGCTGAACAAAGGTCTCCCCCAAAGATCTCCACGGTGATGGGTCCTGCGCTGCTCGCATCCAACGTCTTCCAGCGATCTTGACCTGATCATCCGTCCACCTTGCTGGAGGCCTTCCTACGCGGCGTCTTGCGTTTATTTACATTATCATCTATAACAAAATTGTGCACCCACCTTCGCTAAGAGGTATTGTCCCGAATTATTAATACTCGTATTATTATAGGCTGAGTATGAAGTCAGGCCAAGTAGCCTATATAATAGGAAATAGATCATAAATCCATAGGGGTGTTTCGGATTATTAATATTATTAGAGGCCGAGTATTAAGTCAGGTCAGTTAGTTTATGGTATATTGTAGCATATTATTGACCAGATATTCACGATATGGTTTCCAGGAGAAACCGTGGACTAACAATTCGTGGCAATTACTATCAATCGAAACTATCAGGAATAAGGAATACGTTATTTATCAGTACTCTGTAATTTCATTGCAACATCTTACTCTCCAATCGAAATGCAACTTACAAGGAAATAGGTTTGCGGCTGACTTAAATGTGTGAGGCTGAGATACCCAACCATGAACTTAATACAAGATCTACCTTTACGCCTGATAAATTTTAGTAGCAACAATATGCAATACTAATAATTCCTGTAAAGATATTTTAGGCGCTTGTCAATTTATAACATATATATTTGCAATATTATTTTATAATATTATTAATATCATGAATCTGATTTAAATAAGTCATTCATTCATGGCATTATTAATTAAAAATACTTCATCATCATTGCCTTGCCTTTATACCTTCCATCTCATCCGTCATATTTGAGCTTCTCACCTTTTATACGTATTTTTCATAAAAGCCATCCATCTTCTTGGATGATGAGGGCTCCCTTTCCATCCATCCACGTTCATGTTAAATACTTTCATTAAGATATATCCTCGATTCTTTTCTCTCGTCACTATTTTAATAATTCCTACGGTTAATCAAATCTTACGCTATTTTAACTTACGTAAAGTTCATTTGAAGTATCACGCGATTGCGATTTATCGTAGATTCGTTTCCCATTGGTGGGATTGTGCCAGAGGTACTTGACGCCATCGCTTGCGTCCTTGGTCATGTTTAGGCGACCAGAAATCCAGATGTGGTCGATTGCTGGAAAATAATACTATATTGAAGTGGAGTGGTACCTAGTAGTACTAAGACATACGTAGGATTGCCAGTAATAAATGGAAGAGAGGGGCTGAAGATCATCTCCAGTGGCGTAACAAACAACCACCTTTCCATCCATACTCACAAACTTTCGAGTTTATATTATTAGTAAGATATACGTACGTTGCTCCTCATTTTCTCCCATAAGTAGCAATAATTGTATGAGCATATCGTTATTGTCAACGCTAGCAAGAAATCCTTTCATCTTTTGACAGTTTTCAAAAGCATGCTGCCAGTACATCAGTTGCTTAATTAGTACGTAATTGTAAATGTCGTCGCTGGGCGGCGCTAGTGTCGTTTTTAAAGATGGCGTAACTGCAAACATGCAATACAATATTGTTTTAATCTTTTGATATTTGTGTATATATATTTAATGATAAAAATTGTTGAAAATCGTGTTGCAGTCGTTTAATTACCGCGGTATAGCACACAGCTTTACTTCCGATGGTCGTGATGAGTATGATTGTTTGTATGGGTTAGTGTATTTACAAAATATATATATCTAAGTATTTATATCAGTTGTCTAGTACCCATAACACAAGCTCTGCTTACCGATTACCTTCGATGGTGCTGTGTTAATTGTCCAGAGTTATTATATTAAGGCCTATATAGCACAGTGATAAAACTTACTTTCGTAGCATATGAACTGCATTTTTCTCTCGCATCTCGCTTCTAGAAACACCGGTGTGTTGGAGGCGTCTCGATCCACTTGTAGGCAACCACTCTGCTTTATTTGGGATTTTTCTCTGAAAAAGAAACAAAAACTCCTTATCTGTGATGCCTTCCATTTTGCAATAATAATTAATTATTCAAAATGGCGCTAAAGACGCCTGATTGTAGAAGAAAGTGCTCACTATTTGCGCGCGCGGTCCTTCTCTTTCCCTTTGTTCACATTTATATCCAAATGTTTATTTATTTATTTATTTATACACTTTATTGCACCAGAACAGAAAAATATTAATTAATATAAATATAGTCCTTCAGCTGCTCCATAAGTCCTTACTTTGGTTTAGAGTGCCATCTGCTCTGCTCCCTATCGTCCGGTTAAGGTGTAAAGGCCAGCTGCGGCCAATACCATTAGAGAAGTCCGAAAAAAAAAGTGAAAGCAGTTTCGTTCATGAAAGAAAATATGTATAAGGGCTGGTATTGAAGTGATCAGTCTATCTATATGTTACGAGTACCTCATCGGTGGCCATACATCCGACTGGGCGTCCAGGTATACCGGTGGCTGGAATATACTGACTCCCGTATCCACCCAATACCAGTTCCCAAGATTCCCCTGGGCACCGATCCATGCGTTTTCTATACCTGCATGCACAAAAATATTTTTCTTTATTATTTATATATATATATGTATATATAAATGAATTGCTAGTTCGTTCGTTAGTCACGCTAAAACTTGAGAACGGCTGAACCGATTTGACTAATTTTTAGTCTTAAAATATTCGTGAAGTCCAGGAAAGGTTTAAACGGTGATAAAATGTGAAGAAATTGCTCAGAAAATAGTAAAAAGAACAATTTTAGTTTTTCATTCAATAACAGGACGGTAGAGCAAAAAAATATTAATAATAATAATAACTTGACGTTCATATACGGTTAAAATATCCTACATGAATAAATGATATTTGAATTTGAATTGAATTTCTTTTCAACATTTAAGACTATGTACTTACTCGGTCGTGTTCTTAGCATGCTTCTGCCCAGCTTCTTCAGACACCTCATTGTTGCTATGTTGGCTAAACTGTGAAACATACACTATAATATAAAATAGTAGTAGTCTTCACTCCACACAGATCTACAGACTTGTGTATAAGAAGGTTAAATAGGATCCTCTATAAATAAAATTTCTGAATAAAAAGTTAGCACAGTAGTACATCATTCCATAATCTATACATATAAATAAAATTGGAGTGTCCGTTCGTAATATTGAACTAACCGTTTTTTACTTCATGCATATGAATATAAATACGGTACATACACCAAGACATATACAATTTTTGTCTGTCTGTCTGTCTGTTTGTTCCGGCTAATCTCTGAAATGACTGCATCGATTTTGACGGGACTATTTTGGCAGGTAGCTGATGTAATAAGAAGTAACTTAGGATACTTTTATTTTAGAAACATAGAGTTAAATTCCAAGCGGACGAAGTCGCGGGTACAGCTAGTCCCATACAACTAACCTCATATTGTGAAGCATGCAGTAGGCGGCTGCTTCATACCAGTTCATCCTTCCATCATACACGCGGTACAGGCCAGTTCTGCATCTCACCACCTTCAGTTCCCTCACTTTAACTTCTTCGTGCGCCTCTGTACACATCAAACTGTATTTTTACTTTGAAGTTATGGTACAAATATATTTTATGCTTATGAGTATAAAATTTTTAATTATATGATTATTATTATATTAGATCTAGCTTTTGCCCGCGGCTTCGCTTCCGTTAATTCATCCCCTTAGGGGTGGAATTTATCAAAATCCTTTCATAGGGGATGCCTACGTCATAGTAGCTTTATGAATGCAAAGGTTCAAAATTGACTGCAACTTTATCCCCTTGGGAATAGAATTAATCAAAATTCTTTCTTAGCGAATGCCTACGTCATAACATCTACCTGCATGCCAAATTTCAGCCCGAGCCGTCCAGTGTTGATAGGTCACTATGTCAGTCACCTTTGAGTTATATATATTTAGATTAGTTATCATATTAGGGTACAATGGGACAGGCATACACTTATAGATTGTTCTGACGTCCCCTAAATTTTAAAAGAAATAAATAAAATCCCTTATGGTCGAAGAATAAATGTACAATTTGTCTATTTCTTACCTTTTTCACTAACGAACGCCCTTTCCAAACTGCACGGTAGATCAACGAAAACTGGTCTATCGTGGTACACCCGTTCTAGACCCACACAGTCGGCTCCAGTATCTGGTACTGGCACTCGGGTCCTGTTAAACCACTGTAGAGAGATATATAATGATTATTATATATGACGACCTCGGTGGTCTAGCGGTTTACACCGCTTTAGGACCGATGATCGCGGGTTCGATTCCTCGCACGGCACAAACATTTGTATTCATGAGTATGATTGTTCGTATCGGTCTGGGTGTTTTCTATGTATAATATGTATGTATTTACAAAAAAATATCTATGTATATATATCAATTATCTATTACCCATAACACAAGCTTTAGCTAGCTTATCTTGGATCTAGATGGCGCTGTGTGAATTCTCCTGAGATTACTATTATCATTTCTTTATATATATAATATATATCTCCCTTTAATGGGGTAATAGAGTTATCATCATCATCTAAGGAAGAAGCCTTATCCCATTTATTTGGGGTCGTCGTAATATGTTTTTCTCTTCCATTCATCTCTGTTCGCAGTCATCCCGTTATTTACTCCCTTTCTCACCATATCATCTTTCACACTGTCCATCCATCTCTTTTTCGGTTTTCCTCTACCCTTATAACCATCCACATTCATATGTAACACCGTCCTTAGGATATTATCTTCATTCCTACGCATTACATGCCCATACCACGATAGACGATTACTCTTTAACCTCTCTGACATCGGTGCCACTTTCATACTTCCTCTGATGTATTCATTCTTTATCTTGTCTATCCTCGTCACACCACACATCCATCTCAACATTCGCATTTCAGTTGCATGCAGTCGTCTCTCATCTGTCGTCTTTATGGGCCAGCACTCTGATCCATACGAAATAGCAGGCCGGTCTTGTGAATTTTGCCCTTAAGTTTAAGGGGAACTCGTGAGTTGCACGTCGTCGCCGTAACCTGATTTCTGATCCATACAAAATAATAATATAGGGTTATAGAGTTATTATTGCGGATAAAAATCACTATTATTATTATTATTAGTATTATTATTTATGGACTAAGATGTCACTGCCTAATCTGCACCCTAAAACCGAAACAACTTCCAAACTAAGCTGTTTGGCGGGTGAAATAGGTGACACTGAGGTACACACGCAGACGACTTTTTAGTCTACATCTGATAGCTGGAGAGCTTTTAATCCTAGCAGATAAATCAGTGTCCTCTCTAATGGCATCACATAAGTGGTATCAAGGTTGTCACATGATAAAGTGATGTCCGTAGTGCTGGTCATGTATATAGGCGACGGTTACCACTTACCATCAGGTCATTGAAATTAAATTTATTTGGTTTTAACACCATCTATTTTTTTTTTATTTAAAAAGAAAATTGAAAGAACATTGTCTAAATACATGTAACATTTATATCTTACTTATATAATATTATAAAAGCGAAAGTTTGTAAGGAAGGATGTTTGTTACTTTTTTATGAGGTCTTGTGATGAGACAGCTTTCCGAACGAGCGGTAGATTAAAAAAATGTAATGACTATTCAAAAATGCTTCAATGTAAGTTTATTTAAATAAATGATTTTCGATTCTATTCTATTTTATCTATTCTTATGCAAAAACTACTGAACTAGTGTTGATGAAACTTTACATTAATATAACTTATACATAAGAATAACACATAGGCTATAATTTAAAAACATATTATGTATATTAGGCGACATATAATGATAAATGTGAAGTAAGTGATGCACACGAAGTTGTGCGGTTCAGCTAGTCTATACATATAAATAAAATTGGAGTGTCTGTTTGTAATATTGAAATAACCGTTTTTTAATACATGCATATGAATATAAATACAGTTCATACACCAAAATACACTCCATAAGTCCTTCCTTTGGTTTGGAGTGCCATCAGCACTCGCCCCCTATCGTCCGGTGAAGTTGTAAAGGCCAGCTGCGGCCAACAGCATTAGAGTAGTCCGAATGGGGGTATTTCATTAGCCAGTAGACTTAGTTCTGCTGCTTATGCTCAAATACTCTCAAAACTTGTTATTTTAGAAAAAAACAAAAATCTTTATTTCGTAAGAATTTTTGTTCATTAACCATTTCTTTAATTTCAGTTTAATATGGTACAATGGGCAGATAGAGAGCAGTGAAAGAGAATGACATACTGCGCCGACCCCAAATAATGGGATAAAGGCAAGGCAATGATGATGATGGTACAATGGGCCAATTTACACAAAAAAAGCTTACCATAGGATAATGTCTCCCAACATCCTTGTCCTGTTCATCCAAGAGGACATCAGCAGCAGTCCTTCTCAGTTCCACTCCCTTCCCCCACCTGTAACCAGCGGGATCTTCTGCCGAACTTCTTCTAGCGCCAACCCACACTGACTCTATTACTGAAAAGGGTAATCAATATTACATAAGTGGGAAAAGGGGTTATTGGGGGTTGTTAGTAATGGTATTAATAAATCCAGATCAGGTTGACCTCCTTGTCGTTTCCCATGGAAACCATCGTGATAAATTCTTGGTGAATTTACCACAATGGTTCAACTGACCTGACCTCATGTGTATCTTATCATCTCCCACTAGTGCCCCGCCAGCGTATACCGTTAGCGCAGGCGAGTGCATCATCATCTACTTTTTCCTTATCCCATTCATTTGTGGTCGGCGTAATATGTTTTTCTCTTCTATTCATCCCTGTTCGCAGCCATATCCTTATTTGGGTACTCCCTTTCTTACTATATCATCTTTCACAGTCCATCCAATTCTTTTTCGCCCTTATAAACCATCCACATTCATATGTAATACTTTCTTTAAAATATTCTCTTCGTTCCTACATATTACATGCCCTTACCAGGACTGCTGATTACGCAGGCGGCTGCCCAATTCCATTATCATCCATAAAAAAAACTACTTACAGAGTTGTGATTCTGACAACGATTCAGCAATGAATTCTGCTTTTTCTTTTGTGTCCAAAACAGCCAATGTGCCATTGTGATGACCACTGTAATATATTAAATGTAATCTTTTATTTTCTATACAAAATAAGATAAAAAGGAAACCACTTGATGGTACCCGTCGTATTCCGCTCCGACCGATTCAAACGAGGATAAAAACTATGACAGCCTGAGCCGAGGTACACACCTAACGTTGCCCTCAGACTAAACTCGTATCCGTCATTGAGGAGTTGTCCTTCAGCCGCTCCATAAAACTATAAAGGCCTAGTCCTTTATATAGGTTTTTTCTGATTTTTCTGAAATTTGACTGTCATCACATTTCCATTTGAATAGTTCGAAAAATCTATCGCCTATATAAATGAATAGCACTATCGTCCGAATAGCAAAAAATCTGTATATAAATGAATAGCCACACATTTCCATTTGAATAGTTCGAAAAAATCTATCGCCTATATAAATGAATAGCACTACACATTTCCATTTGAATAGTTCGAAACAATCTATCGCCTATATAAATGAATAGCACTACACATTTCCATTTGAATAGTTCGAAAAAATCTATCGCCTATATAAATGAATAGCACTACACATTTCCATTTGAATAGTTCGAAAAAATCTATCGCCTATATAAATGAATAGCACTACACATTTCCATTTGAATAGTTCGAAACAATCTATCGCCTATATAAATGAATAGCGCTACACATTTCACCTTTTATGGATTCATATTATTTTGTTTAATTCCGTAAGGGCGCGTCCATAAATTACGTGAGATGTTTAAGGGAGGGAGGGGGTCGAGTCAAATCTAATCTTACGTTGGAGAGAGGGGGGGGGGGGGGGCCTATATCACACAATTTTTTTCTGATTGAAACAATAAAATATATAGGCACTATTTTGGTCCATTTAATCCAGATTGTACATACTTATACACTTATAACTCTCAACAATATTGATTACTAGTCTTAACTAGTCGTAAATAAAAGCACGAAGCATTTTTTTTTTCTTTTTACAATAAGGCGTTTACGTAAGAGACTTACATTTTGAAAAATCTCATGTGAGATTGAGAGATAGGGGAGAGGGTTGAATAAAATCTCACAACATCTCACCATTACAGACAAATAAAAAAAACCACCTCACGTAATTTATGGACGCCCTCTAAGTATCTTAGAATAGCTTAGCTAAGGCGAAACAGGCTAAAAAGGCGGGTAACACTGGTCTAATTAGTGCCCGTGATCTGAACTGACCATTCATAAAAGGCCTAAAATGTCCTTTTATACATGAATAAATGTTTTTTAATTTAATATTTATACGTACCGACATAATATCTTAGCGTTCCCCCAACTTACAGGCAAATTCTGAATTATATACTCTTTGCTCTGAAATACATATGATTCCCATTTGTCAGTTGATGTCTGGGGCACTGAAAGACAATACCAGATAATAATCATAACTAGCTATTATATTTTACCCATGATTTTATCCGCGTGTAATATTTTTTTTTATTACAATTTCTAAAGTTAAAATATCCTAATTTACTTCTTATAACGTTAGCTATCTGTGAGTGAAAGTCCCATTAAAATCGGCTCAGCCATTTCAAAGGTTAGTAATAACAAACTGATAGACAGATAGACAAAAAATATCTTTTTTATATAAGATGTCTTTTTACATTATATAAAACAATTTTTATTTATAATAATGTTTATCAATTTCATAATTCAATACAAACAATTACAATTACTTTAATATACATTTAGTGAAAAGCTAATTATTGTATGTTAATTTAAAATTACAAACAGACACTCAATTTTATTTATTTAGATCTACGTTTTTATTTCAAAATATTTAAACTCATATAAATCTTAAATATTAGTAAGCATTAACAAAAAAATGAAATAAAAAATACCTCTATATTGCTCGTGGTAACTGGCTACACAGAACCACAATAAACGAAAAAATAGTAACAATTTCAATTTAGAACGCATTTTTACACGACCATTCTCGAACAAAGGCAACACAATAGTAGTATGAATTTCCTATAAAAAAAAAGCAAAATGCATATTACTTTTCATAACAAAAAGGCATAGATTGTTATGTACAACCTATGCCTTTTTGTTATGAAAAGATAAAATTCCAAGATCAAATAACAATACGTTGAGCATACGTTTTATGTTCAGTTTGCTTGTAGGCGCATGTATATGTATATGTACTTTTTACAAAAGAACAGACAATTAACACCATGTAATCAATTGTTGTAAAAATAATCATTAAAAATTTATATATATATATATATATAATAATGGTAATTATTATTTATTTATTTACCTAAATTGTTTCATATGTTCACATTAACATTGATTCCTACACTAGACTGAGGGAACAGAATACTAATTTTCTCGTACAAGATTACATTTTAGTTTTGTTCTCATAAGAGAGGCATCAACTCTTAAAACAGAGCGTTAATTGCTCTGTGCCTCTTTGTTATGAAAAAAGTTGGTCTATTTTAGAGTCACTATTGACAGTGGCGTAATTAGGTAACCAAGGGACCTGGGGCAAATCAAAAAATGCCCTTTTTTGCAGTACATTATAGTTTTATTAAATATCACATATCGCTATCCGTCAAATTGACAACACTGCCAACCTACAGAAAGTATTTAGGGAATCCGAAGGTATAACTTTTGAATTTCTCTCAACTGTGTTGCCATAGTTAAAATCAGGTTGCACCTTGTCATATTTATTTTGAAAATGGGAGAAATTTTGAAAAGTTCAGTTCGATCGAGATTTTCTGGTAAGGGTTCGAGGGCCCCCTGACGCCACGGGCTATTGGTTGTTACATAGATTAGCAGCAACTCTTATTATTCAGCGTTAATTGCTCTGTGCCTTTTGTTATGAAAAATAAATTCTCTGTATATTTTGTAAACTACTCTATAACACCATTGTGTTGAGGTGACTATTTTTAAACTTAGTCTACAGGTACTCTATTCGTGTTTTTTTCTAACTATTCTAAAGCTATTGGCCACAGTTGGCCTTTACAGCTTCACGGGACGTATATAATATAAAATTGTGATACGCAAATATTCGTAAAACTTTGGCTTATATGACTGTAAAATTTCATCAAAATCCGTTCAGTGGTTTTTGAGTGAAAGTGTAACAAACATCCATCCATACTCACAAACTTTCTCGTATATATATAAGATACCCGTGTCACAGTGTTTCTTGCCATATTTTTTCCGAAACGGCTTAACCAATTTTGATGATATTTTATATGTATCGATAGATCTGAGAATAGATTCTTATCTATTTTTTATACTTCTATGTAATAAGGGTGTCAGCCGTATCACCCAAAAGAAATTAATTTGTTATTTTTAGACATCTTTCTTTTATGATTCGGCAATAAAAAACACATTCAACCCTTTTTGTTATATATTTAAAGTGATAAAGTGGACTGGTCCAAAAGTACAGTCCAAGTTACATTATAATAGACAAAAGTTGTAATTATATATTTATTTATTAAAATACATAGGTACAACCCTAAATTTTAACACTTCCACCATCAACCCATTTCCTTTATTATAATAAACAAAAATTATATAGGTATATTTTGTTTATTAAAAATACATGCAATCCTAATATTCATCTTTCTAACATCAACCCCTATTTTTCAATAGCAATGTTAATTTATATGGCAAAACAATTTAATTCCGAGTTAGATAGTTATTTAATAAAATATAAAAATTCTTATAGACTAATATTGTATTTACGCTAGAAAATTTCAATATTATTTTATCATTAATTTTCATTTCACTATACCTGTATTTAGGACAAGATACATTGAAATAAATTACTTTAGATATTACGAAATCAACTTGTTATCCACGAGGGCCTCGCTGGTGTAGCGGTTTACCACACCGGTTTACTTCCGATGATTGCAGGTTCAATTCCTCACACGGTGCAAACATTTGTGTGTTTTTATGTATAATATGTATGTATTTACGAAAAATAAATCTATGTATTTGTATCAGTTATCTAGTACCCATAACTGTAGCTAGCTTAACTTGGGTCTAGATGGCGCTGTGTGAATTGTCCTGAGATAATTATTTGTATTCATATGTATGATTGTTTATATCGGTCTGGGTGTTTTCTTTTTTTTTATATAACACAGGGGACAAACGAGAATGCGGCTCACCTGATGGTAAGTGATTACCGCCGCCCATGAGCACCCGCAACACCAGAGGAATTGCAAGTATTGCCTAATATCGATCCTGGGACTTTATTATCATACCAGAGTAACACCTATAACTGCGCTACAGGCTAGGGATGTCAATAAATAATAGATTATGGTAGAAATCAATTAAATATTATTCGATTTCTACCATAATCTATTATTTATTCGCTACCCTAGTCTATAAAAAATCACTAGATAATAAATAGATTCAGATTTTTTTCATCCAAGTGAGCTAAAAAACAAGTTCAAGTAGTAACGAACATACCAAACAATTCTAAGATCTAAAAATTTACGTTAGAGAAAAAACATCAATTACTTAAAAATCTATTTTTATTTCTATTTTTATCTTATATTGTACCACTAACATAGGATAATTTATTGTTAAGATGTTATATTATTAAGTTGTTACTAAAAAAATTGGCCATGTTGTCTGAAAAGTAAATTATTATTATTATTATGTAATAAAATATCCATTTTTATTTAATCGATAACATTACTCTTTAAAACATCATCATTAACCTTAGGTTCCGAACTATTTTTTATACTTTTTATATTATCTACTAGCTGTACTCTTTGATTAGAGATTTTTTCTAAAATAAAAGTAACCAAAATTACTCCTTATATCATCAGCTATCTGCTAGTAAAAGTCCCGTCAAAATCGGTCTAGCCATTTCAGAGATTAGCCGGAACAAGCAGACAGACTAAGAGACTAAAATTGTAAAAAAAATATTTTAGTTTATGTGCCGTATTTATATTCATATGTAGATATGTAGTGAAAAACGGTTATTTCAATATTAAAAACAGACACTCTAATTTTGTTTTTATTTGTATAGATGTTTTTTATAATACTGTTAATTTATAGTTTTAATGTCAAAATATTAAAACGCAATACAATTCTGCAAACGTACATATTATTTATCTTCCATATGATTTCAACACAAAATAACACCACCACAACAACTATATTGTTTTTATATATGTGTATATAAGTCAATATAACATTCTGCTATACTAGTGCCGTTTTCTTTGCTTGCCTCGTCTTCATCTCCTTCCTTCACATCTTGCCTTCATTCCGTCATTCGGGGTCGGCATAGTAAATCTTCTTGCTATCTAAAATAATCGATTGTTTAAACAATCTGTCACATCCCTACTACAGGCTCCAAGTACTGTAGTTTTCCCGCCAACTACATAAATTCCACATAATAGGCTTCATTCTCTAACATCAAGTAATAACTTCATACATAAGCACCATTTTGAACCTTATATGTATGACTTAATATCATAATTTCCATAGCATAGTTCATTACGGTTTCAGTCTTAGCTTATATTATCAAGGAGTTAAGACTTGATTACAAAAATGTAGATGCGAGGTGCGGGACGCGACTCCCATGCGTTCGAGTTATGAATACTATGGGACAGAGAACGAATTGAGTGGACTTCCTACTGATTTTTTTTAGACCTGTATATACCATCTACTCAGGTCATCATTTGAGATAAAGAAAATTTCTTTAATATTCATATATTCTCGTTACCGTAATTTCATAACCAACTACTTTCATATATCTGCTTCAAAAGCAGGGAGAACTTTTTGAGAACAATCCGAGAAGACAATTAATATAAATGAGAAAGTATCTGCTTGTTGCCTTGTCATGACTCAACAGCTGAACGATGCTTCATAAAATTTGAGTATATATATATCATATCAAATGGCATGTTATTTACTAAGGAAAAGCTTGACAAGAAAAAATATAGTCTATGTGTTATTCTGATGTATAAGTTATATTACTGTAAAGTTTCATGAAAATCCGTTCAGTAGTTTTTGCTGGAAAGAGTAATAAACATCCACTCATCCATAACTACTTTTTTTTTTTCATTTCAAAACAAATAATCTATAACTACTCACAAATTTTCGCGTTTATAATATTGAATAACAGAACTGAAGCCTGTAATAAGAGATGTACATACTCGCGATGATGACTTTTTACAAAGTCTAATGGTTATAAATAAAAATAAAATAAAATAATCTATATATTAGACGATATAACCTAATCAATGTTTTATATTATTTGGAGTTTTTTAGAGTTACATATTACTTCAAAATTTTATTTGACATGCATTTGTTTAACTGGTAATAACTATTTATTCAGAAATGTAAAGATTTCATTAATTTATTTGTTAGAAAACCAAAACCTTATTATACAATTCATGAAATCAACACACATATCAGACAAAATCAACCATAAATTTTCAGCGACTACGCAAAAGAAACACAAATAAAAATAATGTGAAGCTACTCCATCGATGTCTGTATTCCCGCCCGCCCACCTGTAGCCAACAGATCGCAACTGGCGGCCTCTTGTCATAAAAGCTCGCGCGAGTGTGTACAACGCTCACTACTAAACTACTCGCCGGCGAGTCCACTGGCTTACTCCAACACCGCCATCGTAACAGGTAAGAATATTTGAAACTCAATAAAAGAAGTAAGAACTAATGCAAGTACATATTTCCATTATTTTTTTACTTTCAATGCATCTCCCGTTCTTTTTGTTCTAGCGTTATTTTACATAGTCTTCCTCAATAAATGGGCGATCACTAAAATCATTGTTAAAATCAGATCAAGTAGTACCGAATATTATCCTTAACATCCAAACTACAAAACTAAAATATTTATAAAATACTAGCCGTGCCCGCGGCAATATTCGCGTGAAATTTATAGCCCATATTATTCTGATGTATAAACTATATTATTGTAAAGTTTCATTAAAATCCATGCAGTAATTTTTGCGTGAAAGGGTAACAACCTTCTATGTGTATCCATACATACTCACAAAGTCCCGCGTTTAGAATAGATATTAGTAAGACTAATGTTGATAAACTCTTTATTGCTTCAAATATTTAATACAAGGATTCTTTCAACATCGAAGTAGACTTTGAATAAAGTCATTAGAGTCCTACCTCAGTCTCACCTATTTCAGCCGATAAGCAGCTTGCTTTGTAAGCTGTTTCGGTTGTAGAGTGCATTAGGCAGTGAAATTACAGGATAAGAGGCGTGACATTTTAGTCCTCTAGAATGGTACATGATAATGATGTCCGTAGTGCTGTTCATGTATGTCGGCGACGGTTACCACTTACCATCAGGTATGCCGTCGGTATTTTACCATTCCAATTATGCTAAAAAATAATAAGAGGACAATATGCAATATATATATAATCCCTACAAATGTTATAAATATGGAAGTAACACTGTCTGACTGTTGAGCTTTCACGCCAAAAATTTTGAACTATTAAACAGATTTAAATAAAATTTAATACACAGATAGTCTAGACCCTGAGACGGATATAGGCTACTTTTTAAAACGAAAAAAGGGTTGTAAAGGGTTGAAAAGGGAGATGAAAGGTTGAATTGTAGTAGTATCATTTTACGCGATCGAAGTCACGGGCACAACTAGTTATTTATAAGTAACAGAATAAATAACTTCTAATGAATAAAACAATCCTGAATTTAATTCCTATAGTGAGAAACTAGCGAGATTTAATTAAAAATTGCTGTTTTTCAGCACAACCAAAAAAACTATTTCATATAAATAATTTTATTTATATTATTAACCGGGTCTTAACACGAATAATTTTATGGCAAATAAATGTATTTACCTCTCTCGACGTTTCAACTAGGTTGCACGGCTAGTGCAACCTAGTCGAAAAGAGAGTCCTAAAGACCCGGTTAATAATTTAAATAATGTATATTAAATACAAAGAGTATTTCTTAGTAGTCGAGTAAGAGTTTTTCTTATATTTTCACCGTCTACTTAAACGTTGCCTGTAAGAGATTGCTTGTCGTAAGGCAACCTTTTGTACTCATCATTGCTATACATATTTTATATTAATTAATATTTACTGTAACTGATACAAAAAAAGTGTAAAAATAAAATAAACACGAAATAAAAATAAATAATTTTGCAGGAAGGATTTAAATGTCTTGTTAATGTTGGCACTATTTTATATAAAATACTGTTGTCCTATTTCGAATAATTTGTTAATTATAGTTTAGATTGGTGGACGGTTGTTATCTTTATTTTTTAAGGATAGCATTACATTTTGTTATCTTTGCAAAGAAATTATTTATTTAATATAATTAAAAAAAAGTAAAATTAGTCTCTCACTATAAGCACGGAATTCTTGATCACTTTTAGTCATTACAAATCTTTCAAATTCTTCTATTTTCTCTTCTATAACATGCATGTGTTATATATATAAATCTTCTGTAAGAAATTCTAAATAAGTTCAATGAAAACCGTTATTAAATACGATCTGTGGTTTACTAAGTACCTAGTGAGCGGAGAATCAAACTAACGAAAATAGTAAATAGTCTTATATTATTAATTTTATTTTTATTTCTTTATTTAATTCAGGATTTTAATTTTATTCATTTATTTAATGAAAATTGGACAAGGCCCTAAGAAGAAGATTAAATTCAGGCCTCTAATGCCCATGTTATAAATACCTTACAGACTAAAATACATATGAAAGATATTACATTTAATATAGAAATTAATATAAATTGTCTGTGTGGTCACGGCACTGATGACGGCAATCTGCCACGGTAGCGCCGATACACCACACCCTTCGGCCAGTAGTCCTCCTTCATGAAGGTGGGCAGCATGTTGGTGGGAAATCGGAAACTGAAATATAAATAATTTATTTTATTATATTATACTAGCTACCTGCCCCGATTTCGCACAAGTGTACATGTATTATACATATAACTCTTCTATACATACATAGATAGGTACAAACCGCGACAGCGACTTTATTTTATACTATGTAATGATTCTCGTATCACAATGTGACGTATCATACTCCTCCGAATTATATTATATTATATATTATATTGAATAGCATAGAAAAAATAGAAAATACTCTATTCAGGTAGACCTAAATTTAAACACTTTGAATTTAGCGCTCATTCGGAAAACTGTCTCATCTTACCGAATGAAATTCACATTATTAACTTATTTATAGTACATGAAATAGAAATAGAAATAATATATTCAAATAAACTTAATATAAGCAGTATTGAATAGACATATTTTTTTATTCTGCCACTCATTCGGAACGCAGACTCATCACAAGGAGGATAGGATGACCATGAAACTTTCTATTTTCTATTTTCAACACCCGAAAATAGAAAATAGAAATAATCTTTATTCAAATAAACTCATTACAAGCACTTTTGAATAGTCATATTTTGATTCTACCACTCATTCGGTATGCAGATTCATCACAAGAAGAATGAGCAAGAAACTTGTGTGTTGCTCTTTTTGAATAGATATTTTTTAATATAATAATTAGAGTATAACAAGTAAGAGGCATGCGATAATCAACATAGAAATCGCTACGCACTCATTATTAGTGTAATCAGATAATATTGTCAGTGCTATGGATTTTAAGTTTTTCTATAAAAAAAATATTGTCATTAACGAATTCTTCAATTTTTGAATTATTAAAATAAAGATTCTATTCTATACTATTGTAGCAACAAACGCACTAATAAAAATTCCACTCGGTTCAGCGGCAGTCAGGAAAAATATACCATATCTAGGAATGGTTTCCCTAAATAAATTATGATGTTATATTTACTGAACAAATATCATACACACTCATTATTTCATACTTAATATTCATGTGATTTATATGAGATGTGTGTATAGAGAAATTTGCATAAACAATACTTCAATTATAATTTATTACTAGCTGTACACGCGACGTCGTCCGCGTGGAATTTAACTTTATTGTCTAAAATAAAAGAATTTTTTAAAATTAAAAGTAGCCTAAGTTACTCCTTATTACATCAGCCAATAAAAGTCCCGTCAAAATGCGGTCCATCCATTCAGAGATTAGCCGGAACAAATAGACCGACAGACAGACAGACAAAAATTGTCATTTTGGTGTATACATTTATATTCATATGCATGTAGTAAAAAACCAATACAAACAGATACATGAATATAAAATTGTTTTGTCAAAACATTTGTATTCATGCAGTATGATGGTCACGGGTTCGGGTTGTTTGTATCGGTCTGGGTATTTTCTATGTATATTATGTAAATACAGAAATTAGTAGTACCCGTAACACAAGTTCTGCTTACCGTGGGACTAGATGGCGCTATGTTAATTGTCAAGTAGAAAAAAAATTATAACACTATTTAAAAATTATGGGTTATAATGGTAGAAGGGCAAAAATTTAGGCTTATATGTATTTTAAAAGAATTATATTTAGAAAATCTTCTTTTTGGTGGACCATCCTTACCACTTACACCCGTAAGTAAAGATACAAAATTTCATAAGAATTTGTGGTGTTTCATTTCATGTTTCGGAGGAGTTTTGTTACAAACATAGTGACACGAGAATTTTATATAAAAATCAGTCTGTTTTTTGTAAACATTTACAAACTGATTTGGGAAGACTAAGAGTCGAGTTTCTTGTCAGTTCTCATCACGAAATCATTCCGAACCGACGGTAGATTTGACATATCATAAGAGTCTGTAATAGACCTACGCGAATAAAGATAATTTGATTTGGTTTTAGATTTTTTTGTACTTACACTTTGTATAAAGTCGTTTGCTTGTCTACCTCCGTCTCCCCTATTTTTGCAGTCAAGCAGTTTTCTTTGTAAGCTATATAGGTTTAAGGGATTACACCCTTATCATAATAATGAGTTACATGACGACCTTTATGGTCTAGCGGTTTAGTACAGTGTTTTATATTGTGACGGTTCGATTCCTAGCACGGTACACGCATTCATATTCATTAATATGATTGTTTGTATTAATCTAGGTGTTTTCAATATATATTATGTATTTACAACAAAAATGTCTAAGTGTATATACAGGTTGTCTAGTACCCATAACACAAGTTCTGCTTACCGTGGGACTATATGACGCTGTGCTAATTGTCCAGGTTTATTTATTTATAATGAAACTAGCTGACCCTGCAAACGTTATTTTGCCATGTAAATTAAAATAGCTATTAAAAAAATGTGGATTGGTGATAGACTGGTGGAAATTTAATGATAAGTTATAAAAGAAATTGTCCAAAACATAAAAAATAATGTTAGGAGTAGCATATGCATATTAAATTTCATAAAAATCAGTCAAGCCGTTTCATATGAGTATGGTAACTAACATTGTGACACGAGAATTTTATATATAAGAAGATAAACAAATAATTGTAGATAAATTGACAACTGAAAAGTTATGTCATTGTCAATTTGAGATTTTATTGTAAATTTTGATACACTTTATTTGACAAATTTTATGAAGTAAAGTTAAGTGGTGCATATTTGCTGTAGGCATTTGCCCTTTTTTAGGATCCCTATGAGTGACTTATATATATATATGTATTTTAATTTAGACAAAATTTCCCGAATAAAAATATTCTGATTCTCATTGCGA